CTTTAAGAAAAACTATGCTACATTTAAAAACTGCTTTCACAGGAGTGGGATGCTTTAATGTTCATGACTGTTCTGTAAATGCTGAATGAGATGTCAACACTAATGTAGGAATCATTTGCACACCTCCAAGTTTCACCAGCCTTTTCATTAGATGTGGACATCAATCCATTTTGATTATGATGCTGGTTAATGATTATTTGCTTGTGGGTGGCAAGATTACTACCTGGGTGGGTAGAAAGTGTTTGTCAGGGTGAAATTATCATCTATTCCTCGTCTGCCCATTTTAAAAATCTTCAGCCTTTATCAAACTTTAAAAGCCTGTGTTTTTCCATCGGGTACAATTGGAGCTATGTTTTCAGTGTGCTAGGAAATCGGTGGGTCAACTCTACTGCAATTCAGAACAGGCAGTCAAAGAAACTATGTGCTTTCATCATGTAACACATACCATAACATTTAGCCAAAGACCTTACTTCCCTTTTCTGGTAATAGTATTAGGGCTTTTTGATGATCAAATTGAAGGATTCTTCATTGTATACATTTATTGACCACCAATCATTGAAAATAGCTGCAATGATTTATTTCACTCTCTTACGCTGTAAAATAAACCTTAGGTGTCTGATTTCCTAATTCTACGTTAGTAGAACGTTTCTCATTACTCCTGTAGAAGTGTTGTTCAGTTGAACAAATGAATGGTGGAATAGGCTGTAGGAACTGAAAGACTTGCTCCTGATTCTGTGTTTCAAATTAAATAATGAGGATGTGCAGTCCAACACAGCTTTCTGCAATTGCGGCATCACAATCTGTGTTTGTGCGGTGAGTTCCAGTGGTCATCCAAACTATTATCAGAGTCTGTGGGTCGGATTCTCAGGGTCCAATGGGGGTAAGCACAGTGGGAGCTGATGCATAGCTTCTGAGTCCATTTTTCCTGCTAGGGACAAAGGACGGAGGGGTGACTGGGCAGCATGCCTATAAATGGCAAATAGTCAATTAAGTCGAGTAGAAGGACATCGAGAGGTTGTAGAACAGGCCAGTTGCAACTTCTTGGCAGCAAGCTATACTGGGAAGGGCCTCCATGCCGGGATAGTGACCCAGCTGTTAAAGACATCTAGTTTTAGTATTTAATGTTTTAAGAAGTTGGAGATAGATACCTCCTTCTGGAGGCCCTCTCTTTTCCATGCACCTGAACTGTGAGCTGCTGTTTCTTCAATGCAGACAGACCTCCTGCTGGTCCTATAGTTTTAAGTTGCCTTCCGGTGTCCTTATTTGACCAATGAGCTGACCCTCTGACCACCAATTTGCAAATTTGGGGCAAATCACTGTTCTCAGTGTGAGTTGTGACATCGCTCACAACCATTCCTCCAATTGACCCTCACCTCAGGGACCTAACTCAAAGGAAAACCCTGTCTTCTGAGTGGAGGTGGCTGCCCAACAGGGAAGGGGAACTGAAGGGGGAGTTCCACTGTCTGCTACCCATTCACAAAGTTACATTGCTAGAACTGTAAAGGCAGGCTATCAATATGCCCTTTAGCCAGGGGATGAAATGAGGCTGCAGGGATCTTAAAAAGAAGAAACTATGTCAGTAAGAGAGCATTAATAAATAAATGTGCTGTAAACAAATAAATCAGCAACTGTTGACAATGGAAACAGTATCCAGATGCGGATTCCTACTTTCAGTCTGAGCTTTCAACATTTAACTATCTGGAAAAATCAGGAACAACATAAAAGTGTGGTATCTTCACCTCACTACTGGACTGCTTCTTGTCTCTGATGCTCTAAGTATCAAGATAAGTAACAGTTGTAATGATGTAGGATTAATAAAGAAGAAAATGGTGAGGGCGCTGGTTTTTCATGGTGTAGTCTACAACTAAATGGTTAGGGTGACAGGAAGGCAGCACAGTTCTCTCAAAGGTTCAGTGTTCAGTATTCTGTTGTATGATAGGATCAGCAGAAGCTACCATTTTGGGTAGTTTTGATATCTGTGTTTTTGCTGGCCAGAAACATCCATCAAATAATGCATAAAAATAGCAGACAAAATACCACAAAACACACAGTAAATGCTTTCCACTTCACTCCCTATACTCGTAGAAACACTCCATTAAAGTCTATATTTCATGCTGTAATTCATCAAGTTAAAACACAATATAATCTAAAATTGCATTTCATATCAGTAACACAGATAATGGGATCTACCACTAAGCATACATTAAATTAGGCTTTTGCAGATGACAATGTTTCATTGTTTCCAGGGAAAATATTCACAATTTTCAGTTATTTTCTCTACTTTCACAAATGTTTGTCAGTGGTTTTCTATTAGATGTTTTTTCTCTATATTTGGATTGATTTTTCTCTTTCATTTTACCTCTGCCTGTCCCATGGACTATTCCTAACATATAACGGTGGTTTGGAAAGGATGCCTTCAGATCTCTGCCAATATTCTAACAGCAGCCTTTAGCAACTTACGTTTCAATTTTCTCTCCTTCCCAGTGCTTGACATCTTCTGTTGGCAGACAAATTTTTGTCTGTGAATTCAGATTAGGGATTTGAACTTAACTACAATTGGCCTAGTGTGGCGATAACATAATGCCCTACCCATATGCTGTCCTTTCATTATACATTTATTAGTACAAATAGTTACTTGGGGGTGAGGCAAAGACTTTGCAAATCAACTTGCATAACATGAAATTATGCAGAATTAAACAGAAAAATGCCATTCGGCCCAACAGGTCGCTATACAAACTTCCTTCCACCTTACTTCATATCACCGTTTTGACATAACCTTCAACTCGTTTCTCCATCGTATGTTTAGACAGCTTCTCCATGAATACATTTATGCTATTCACATCGATCAGTCATGTGGTACCAAGTTCCAAATTCTCACTGGGTCATCTCCGGATTGGGTCCAAGACATCTTAAGTGTCAGGAAGTACGAGTGAAAAGTTGCCACGCGTATGAACTGGGCAACAACACCAATAAAATCGACTTTCTACAAGTGCCACAAAATGAAGCTTTGAATAAACATGATTTTGACACATTTTAAATATAACCCAGAAAAAATCATTTGCTTGATCTGCTGACTGTACTGAAAACAGAAGTGCGTCTGAGGCTACATAACCATATGAAACTACTGTCACCGTATGAGTCGCTGGATACATCGGCAGGTTTTTACTGAGCAGTGATAAACGTGTGATTGAAGGCAAATTATCCACAGGTGCTCAAATCCATCACTGGAATTATGTAATAATATGAGCAGATGATCAGTTGCAATTACAAGAAGCAAAGCAGTAGAAAAAGCTAAGGGCATACATAAAATATGCTGCCAATATTGAACATAATTTTGAACTGTAGCCTAATTGATATTTTTGAAATAATGTAAATGATATTCAGTTTTCCTCAGTACTATTAATGTTTTCACAGTGCAAGCTCCTACCTCTCTGTAGGCTCTTCTGTGAGATCAACACTGCCTGATTCCACTGCTCCTTTGTTCTCTTTTTCTTCTTTAACTGAATCCTCTTGATCAGAAATTTTAGCGAGTCCTTCATTCTCTGGTGTGCGTGGCACTGTATTCTGCTGATACCATGGCTGACTGTCAGGTCTCCTGTAAATTGGAACTGGCACAGGTGCCAGTAAACTGTTTACAGGACTGCTGTTTTTTGTGAGTCCACTTCTGTCCCTTGAGTGGCTTTTCAATCTGTTCTGACCCATACTACGGTGCTCAAATCCCTCCTGCTGGAGACAGCCACTGCTTCCAGAAGAGCTCTGGCTAAACCATTTCCATCTCAGCCTCAGAATCTGCTTCATGTCAAACTCCTTCCTCCCGGACACAGACATCATTGTCCTAGAGAATCTTAAACTTGTAAATGTGAGATAGCTTCGATTTCAACACCGTTTCACGCCCTTGCACCTAATCCCTTCACTGAAGAAACCAAAAAGAACAAGCCTTCTCTGAGCAGTACACAGTACTGCTAGCACTCACTGCAAATACTAAGCTGCTGCTAACTGTGTAGGTGGGATACCATACTGACAGGATGATGAGGTCAGACCTCAAACGAGTAAATCAGATTAACACAGGAAGACAGCTACCAAAACTCTAAACAGCAGCTGGTCTTACATACAGTTAAACAAAGATTTAACAGCACTGTCCTTTGCTTAGCAAGATCCCATCTGTTTTAAGGAAATGCAAACTGTAATATAAGATCCAGGAAAACATGCACAAAATAAAGTACTAGGCTTGTGTTTCCCAGGAGAACTACATGCAGCCTTTTCCTTTTCTGGATGGCACTCGCATTAACTTAATAAAGGATTGAAAAAACAACAAAGCATTTTTTTTTAGCCTGGCTTTAATGGTTCCTGGACTTGCCTTATCACTATCTTCAGAGAAAAAGGGGTCCAAAGACAAGTGTCAACTCCAACCACACGCTAAACAGCAGTTTCAAGTAGTGAGAGGAAAGAATGGGCTAAGTCAATTAGGATGTTTTGTGATGTGATTAAACTAGAGCAAAGGCTGTTTAAATCTTGCAGAAGTGTCATTGATCGAGCGTAGTTTGTCTGTATGATGTACGATGTGAAAGAATCACTGGATGCAAGTTAAAAATAGCTAAAGAAATGATTTCTTCCGATGCAGAAAATCAGTTTTGATTCATAGTTTTCCATGTATTTCACCAGCAATAAAAAAATCCCACAGGACAACTTTATTCTTAATGCAGTAGGTCATGCTTTAATCAGGGAGACAAAACAAATGCAGAGACTCTAATGCAATTTGCCTGCAATTGAAAACTTGGTCCTTAAAGTCAAACCATAAATTAAGTAAAGTTCCATCATTCCAAAAGCTTTGTCTATCTTAACTTCTGCAAATCAGAAAATGACACTTAACCTCAGATATGAGGGCATGTTTCCTGTTCTGATTTGCTGCAGAAGAAATGATAGGTTCAGTAAAAATGAGTCTTTTCTTAACTAATAGGAACAGAGTATTACATAATTCTGAAATCCTCCAAGTCGAATATTCCTTCACTTAGTGACCCAGCTGCGAAGGTGCGATATAAGCAGCACTGAGCTTACGGTCGTACATTATGGAAAAAATATAACCAATTTACACAGTCGTAGGTCTGGAATTGAACTTACAAGCCACCTGGAGTGAGGAAGAGCTGGGAGTGACAAAGTTGTCAGTCAGGCATGGACGTTTAACACTCCAGCATGGGTTTGGCGCTGCTGATTATATATCGGACAGGGAGTCAATCTGAATGATGGACTTTGGTTTCAGCCAAGCAGGTAATCATGTCACCGAGGCAGAGGAAGATCAGAGAAGTGGTTGAGGTAATGATCATTTGGCAACCTGGGTGTTGCAAAGTTGTAGTGCTCTAGGGCTCACTATCACAGACATGGGATGAGTGAAGTTAGCACAGGTTGAATCAGATGATGCCAAGGGACTGGGAGTTGAGGCAGTGAGTAGGATAGAGGGAAGATCAGAGGCCTGTGGGTGCAGGAGGCTTGGAAACAGGAAGATATTATGTGCAATGTCAAGAGATTGAAGGTCTCACAGGGACAGTTGGTGGGAGGAGGGGAGTCTGATCTCATGGCTTTCCTGGGGACATATTCTATTTAGCAAGTAGATGTATAAGTTCTTTACCTGATGTATCTGACAGCCCTTGTTGGGCTGGGTGTCCCACATTTATTAAAGTCAGAAGTGAGGGGATTTAGGACAGGAATTCAGGGGCCAGGATTCTAAATGGGAAGGCTTTAACCCAACACCCAACTGTTGTTAAATTCCTGCAATGCTGTCAATTCTTGCGTAAATGTTCTATAAGCAAGGTAAATGATATTCCTGGTATAGCCAGGCAATGGAACTAGAAGATTTGGGGTTTTTTTGGAGAAATCAGTTGCATTTATATGGCAACTTATTTTGACTTTAGAAAATCCTAAAGCACTTTATTTTTATTTGTTTTATTTTATGATTTATTTGGGCATCATTTAGGCTAGCAAAGAAGGGTTAAGAGTCAATCACATCGCTCTGCGTCCACAGTCAAATGAAGGAGAGACCAGGTAAAAATGGCAGATTTCTTTCCCAAACAACATTAGGCTGGGTTTTTTTCACTAATTCAAATGTTTGCAAATGCCATGGCAAGGTTCAAACTCATGTCTCCAGCAAATTAGTCTGATGTTGTGGCTTACTAGAATAGTGAAATTTCTACTACCTCTCCCATATTATCACGTGGACAAATTTGATAATGAATTTAAACATGGCAAGCTCCCACAAATAACAAGATAACAACCTGTATTTCTATAATACCTTTACCATAATAAAACATCTTTAGTCATTTCGCAACAGCGTTCTCAAGCAAAGTTAGTCTTCCTAGGCAAATAAGGAGATGGTAGACAAATCACCAAGATAAAAGAAATAATTTTTCAGTTTTGTTTCTGTCTGTCTGCTACAACATGCAGATTTGATGAATAGCACAAAGAGAACCATTAGCAAATACATGTCATCAATCACTAAATAATTAAACAATTGACTACAATATAGAATATGAAAGTAAACTGGCCAATTACTGCCCAATAAGTATGAGGCATTTAGGGGACTTAATATCAGTAGCTAAAAAGTATTGGAGAAACTTAAGAGACTGAAAGCTGACATATTCCAGTATCTAATGTTTACATCCTACTGTTACAAAACTGGCAGCTACAGAGATAGTGTATACATGGTTATGATTTATATTTTATGAGCTATAACAGTGCACATAATATAACCAGAGAAGGTCAACATGGTTCAATGAAAGGAAATCATGTTTAACAAATGTATTAATTTTTTTGAAGTGGTAAATATTTGGGTAACTAAAGGGGAACACATAGATGTAAATATTTGGATTTTCAAACAGCATTCAGTAAGAGCCATACAAAAGGCTAATTCATAAGATAAGAGAGTGAATGGAGTTGGAGTAATATAATTAGCCTTGATAAATGATTAGTTAGCCAACAGGAACCAGAGTGTAAGGATAAACTGGGTATTTTCAAGTTAGCAGTCCATGTCTAGCAGCGCCAGAAATATTAATGTTGGGGCTTCAGCTATTTGCCATCTATATTAATAACAAAGAGGCAGAAAGTAATTATTTATTTTGGCTGACAATAGGAATTTAAACCATGAAGAGATCACAAAGTTGCTCCAGAGAGGTAACAACAGATAGAGTGAAAGGGAAACAAGTGATAGATGAAGCTTATTGTAGGAAAGTGTGATGTTTTTCACATCAGTTGTAAAAACACAAAGTAGAAGTGTTTTAAAATGTGTTAAACTTCTAAATGTTGATGGATATAGAAACATGGGTGTTCTCGTGCAAGAAACACAATGTTAGGATACAGGTGCAAAAAGCAATTAGGTAGGCAAGTTGCTCTTTATTATGCGGAGATTGGAGTACAGGAATAAGGAAATCTTGCTACAATTGGTTCAAGTTTTGGGAAGACTACATCTGGAATATTGTATGTAGCTTTTGTTTCCATAATCATGGAAAAATACACATGCTTTTCAGAAATCTTCACGTCCATATTTCAAAGGTGTCTATTTCCTTCCAAGCATCTTTACTCAATGTCCAAATTTCTAAGGCATTCAGGAAAGTAACATTGAGTAGGTTTTTTTTCCTGGTATCAAGTTTAGAATTCTATTGCTGCTAACATATCCTTCATCTGCTCAAATTTACTTCAGGCTATTTCTATTCTTCTTCTAACTTCCAAATCACATCTGTCACCTTCTGAAATCATAAATAGACAAACTTATCTACTTTTTCAGTGTGACACCATCCACTTCAATCTTTATCGTAGCCTTATTTTTCTAATGCAGTCTTTCTAGCACCAGTGTTTTTGTGCTTCAGTCTTCATAATCCATATTGTAAACTTCTAGATTTTATTTGACTTATAATATTTTGTAGTGCCTCTTCTGATTCTGCAATGTGTGCTTTGTCATCAGCAAACTGCAACTTTGATGCCCTTTTATACAAGTTTTACCCCTGGATGTACATTTAATTCTCTAAATATTTTTTCTGTGTAAAAATTGCATAGTTTAGGCAAAAGCACTCAGCTTTGATATGCTCCTCTTTTCACTTGAAACATGTCTGACTGTCTTCCTCCTAACCTGAAGTTTTCTATTGGTCTCAATGAGGATCTGGATAAATCTGGCATTTTTTAGTCAATGTTACATTTCAGAAATACCTCTATTATCCTTTTGTCATTAAAAATGATCAAGTGCTTTCTCGTAGGCTATGTAAACAATTTTGTTTAATCCGAGATATTTTTTATAGAATGTTAAATATTCCATCTCTTGTCATGTCTAAATCTGGATTCTGTTTCCACAAAGTCCTCACGTACCACCCCACCAACCTCCGGATCCAACACATCATCCTCCGACACTTCCGCCACCTGCAACGTGACCCCACCACCAAAGACATTTTTCCCTCCCCACCCTTATCTGCTTTCCGGAGGGACCACTCTCTCCGGGACTCCCTTGTCCGCTCCACACTCCCCTCCAGCCCCACCACACCCGGCACTTTTCCCTGCAACCGCAGGAAGTGCTACACCTGCACCTACACCTCCCCCCTCACCCCCATCCCAGGCCCCAAGAAAACTTTCCACATCGAGCAGATGTTCACCTGCACATCTGCTAATTTGGTATACTGCATCCGCTGTTCCCGTTGTGGCCTCCTCTACATCGGGGAAACCAAACGGAGGCTTGGGGACCACTTTGCAGAACACCTACGCTCGGTTCGCACTAAACAACTGCACCTCCCAGTCACGAACCATTTCAACTCCCCTTCCCATTCCTCAGACAACATGTCCATCCTGGACCTCCTGCA